ATACTGTGTATGTAGACTTTTTAAATATTTCATTGTGTGAAATAAAATATGACATTATTATTAAGAATCCATTGGCATGATATTTTACTCAATGATCAAACAATGTTTAGTTTGCATAATATCGTGCACACATAATATGGCAGTATTTTTCATTTTAAATTACAATGAAATTTAATATTAGCAATAGCTGAATAATAAAGTGACTCTTGGTCCGCTTAGTTTAATTTATTTACCTATCAACGTACTTTAATTGTATTTAATTAACTTTTCTGTCGAGTAAACGTTATAGCAGTGATAATTTTTCCAGGTGCGGTTAAAAATAAGATTAATTGATAGAATTTATGCAATACGATTTAAAGAAAAATAATTGAGGCAGTGGAGTATGTTGATTGATTTTCTTAATGCGAGGGATTATTTTAAAGACATGTAAAAAAAAATTTAGTTAATAACGTGTAAGTCGTAGTGTTTGTATTCAAGTATAATTATCCGCTCACTCAAATTAGTTTTCAGTTTCAACATGAATTATGTATTTTGGTCGATACTAAAATAAAACATTAACCATATTATTATTACGATGAAGGGATACTTACTAGAACATATTTATTAACTTTATTGAAACACAAAATAGATGCATATTCAATAAGCTTATAGGTATATGTATTATAAATCGTGAAGTGTTAATCATTATTGACAGTTATTATACAATCCTATATTTTTTCAGTTTTCGGATTCTTGAAAGATAAATTTTTGCTTCAATATCGACCAGAATATTTATAATTTTATTAGTATTTTTATACTTATTATTTTTAAGTAACTGTATACATTTATATGTATTAATATTTGGAGAATAAATAATATACATGTATACTAAAATTATTTTATTGTATTCATAAAATGTAATTTTCTACTTTATTTAAAATTAACGAAGATAGTCCCACTAAACGGGCATATTAATACTTTTTCAGTTTCTTTATGGTTTATTTTATTTGGTCCTTAACGTCGACTTGACACTTAAGGTTTGAAGGTTTCCAGATACGTTATTTTTTTCAGAGAGGCAACAAAAAAAGTTGATCTCCCTTATTGGTAAACAAGAAAACTGTAAATATTTTTTAATTATATTTTCGGATTAATATGTTATTATATTTAACATTTAACCAGTGCAAGTAATCTGAATGTATTTCACTATTTTTTTATATAGTATATGCAGTATCAAATAGTTTAGTATAATTTTAATACTGAATATAGTAAAAATAATGTTATTGTAGTTATAAATTATAATCTTCAAAAATATAATGTGGTTTGATTGGCTCGCCTTTTTAAAGTACAACTATCAGGGTAATATTTAAACCTTTTTGTGTGGATTTCTTTTTTATTGTATTAATATAGGTTAGTAAAATAATATGTAATGAATGGTAATCAAAAAAATGGTAATGATAATTTTATATATGTGTCGTAGATTCGGAAGGATAAATATTTACATAATATTTAACTTATTTACCTACATGGGTCCAAACATTTAATTGTTATTAATGTAATCTTATATTTATTTTTATAATCATGAATGTCTAATTATCGGTACCGTATAACTACCCTCCATCACTTCCATTACACGTCGTTTCGCGATCGCCTCCGTCGTCGCTCATGTCCGGAACTGCATTTAGATTTGTCACCGATATCAATCATATTGTGAGCCAACCAGTTAATAATTACGCATTAAAGAATCCTTGATCGGGGTAAATCTCGTTCTTTCAATGCCGACTTTTCGTCGTGTCTACACCTCGACTAACACCTAATATTATTATTATTATTATTATTATTATTATTAATATTATTGTCAAGATGGCGCTCCAACATATGGAATAACACGATTCGATGTTCTCGCAGCGAAACGTCTGTCTGCGGACGATATGGAATGCATGGATGTATAAGTACAGGGCCGTGCCTAGGGGGGGTGCGAGAGGTGCGTGTGCACTGGGTGCCATTGACCAACGGGGCGCCAAACGCATTTTTATTATCTACCTAAGTAATATTACTGAAAATTCAACATATTAATTATGTTAAGGCTCTTTTTCTGTTTACATATTATCATCTTTAGAAGTGTTTGTACAATGTACATGTTGACAAAAATGTTTAATGTGAAAAATAAGGTAAATCTGACGAATCTGTCTCCGGTTCTCCAATGTAGCTTTTTTATAAGTCTAAAAATATTTGGTAGAGGGGGTGAGGGTACTAGAAATTATTTTTGGCACCGGGAGCTGATTATGCTAGGCACGGCTCTGTATAAGTATATGAAATTATTATTATAAAACAAGTATCTGTCCAGCACAAAAACCTACAAAAAATAATGTCATGTCCGACGTATGGCCATAGAAATTAATTTTTTTTGTTGGTGCATCTTATTATTTTTTTTATCATTATTTAATCAGAGTTGTGTGTTCTCCGAGCTTTTTCTGTATCAAATTAAAACTAATAACTCTTTTTAAAAATGTATTAATTATTTAAAATACGTTTTCTTTTATACCAACAACAACCAACGGTTTTTATTCATTTTTTTTTTTTTTTTTTTTTTTTTTTTTTGATTCAATGTTCCTGTTATAAATTACATAAACCTAGGTATTTTGACTCTTAAGGTCTTGGTACCTGGTTGGTGAATCTATTAAGTATATGGAGGTTGTCACTTGGTGCTTATTCTGGGTCTATAGGGTTCAAGATTTTAATTTAATTTTGCATTTTAGAAGTCAAATTTAACTAGGATTTCCGTTCAAACAAAAATTAAATTAATCTCATGGGATGCTGGCAAAAATCTAAAAAAATCTAAAAGTATGCTAGGACTACATATTGTCCGGTGCAACACGATTGCGCAATTTTTCCTTTTTTGATCCAACTAAGTAAAAAATTTGCCACACGATTGCATTTCGATCCCTTTTTACCTGATAAAACCACAACACCAGTGCTCACAAAATTATATGTGTATATACAATGTATAATAATTTATGTACACTATAAAATAATGTATACAATACATACTTTCTATAATTTGCATATACATGCACTAAAACTATTAATTCACAAAACGCACTTTTTCAAAATCGAAATAAAAGGTTGATTGAGCTAATGATAGTTATAATAATAATATCGACTAATGAATATCAGTATAGAAAAAATGTTTAAAAAAAAAAAAATTTGATTATTAACCATGTCAGTGTATACATTTAGCATACATGTAATTTAGAAAAAAACGATTTTTAATCAAGCCAACGATGATAATTTGTTGACAGTCCTAAGCCTGTAATAATTACAAAGGAAAATTGTGAGTTAATAGGTAATAAGTTTGAGTGCATGTATATGAAAATTATATGTAGAAAGTATGTACGAGTATTGTATATATTATTTTATGTTGTACATTAATTATTATACATAGTACATAAACACATATTATTATTTGGTGTGCAATGTTGTTACGATTTTATCAGGTAAAAAAGGATCTGGACGCAATCGTGGTGTAATTAGTTGGGTCGAAAAAGGAAAAATTGCCCAATCGTGTTGCAGCCCATTTTGTAATTAAATAAGTAAATTGCTAGTATTTAGTTAGTAAGTTAAATATTAAGCTTTTGTATTATTTACAAACCCTGCCATTTTGATTATTATTATTACTTTTAGAGTTTAATTAAAGTAGCCGAACTCAAAATGTAATTTGAATAGAACCCAATAGGAAAATATGAGAATGGAATTTTGCTCCAAATCAAACAATTAAGTTTATTTAATATCAATCAATATTAAAGAAGCCCGTGATTTTCGAGTATTTGAAACATAATTTACTGTATAACGATAAGTATAGTTTGTGCTCTCATAAATCAATATGATAACGTTAGTAATTTTGTTTCATAAATGAAGAATAAATAGCTTAACATGGCCATGATGATGGAGAGGAAGTTGACTCTTTGATATTTCAGGTAATATGCCACTAAATTGTACAACTACTAACATTTTTTTGAATATTTTTAAAATGTAGGATATAACTGAATAATTAGAAATAATAAAAAAAAAAAAAAAAATTGAATTTAAATCGTCGAAAAAGAAATTAGTTTATGTAGAATGTTTATCTTAAGAATGACAAACGTAAAATGTATGGAATTTTAATAGCTAATTTAAAACATATAAAAAATTAATTATATGAGGAGGAGCAATTACTTTTTATGATGAAGGTTTAGAATTTCGCGGTAAGAAAAAGAAAATACGAAATACCAAATTCCAAAATAAATTAAAATGCTTTGTTTAATAATTGAATAAATATGTTGACGATTCTACGAACATATAAGTGCAATAAAAAAATCGTATTTATTTATTTTAAAACAATGAAGAATACGTTTATGAAGATATGTTTCAATAAACAAGAACGCTTTGTTAAATTTTTAATATTAATTTTTTAGATTAAAATGTATATCAACAAGAAGATTGCAAGATGAGAAGTATTAAGTATTGCAAAAATATTTTAAAATGAATAAATTATTATACCCAACCGTTTGCAATGACAATTACGAATAAAAGTAAAAACGTTTACTGAATGCATTTTTATCGTTTTACCGCACAATTTTAAGGGAAAACAGTGATCGTTTCACATGGTCATCCGACGGTCGGTAATGTCCGATATCCTGTGCGTCCGTGCATTATTCGCTCGACTTTCCCCATCTGGTCTGTACGAATCAGGTCGAGGAAATTGTTAACCATAGGTTTATCATCGTCGTCACGAGGTTTTTTTCTTCTTCTTTCTTTCTTCAATTTTATTTCATTTTTTTTTTCTAACGCATTAAAAACAATGGTTGGATGACAACCGCGCGCGCGTGTGATGACGATGACGATGATCTACTTGTGTGACAGAAAACCATTTCATCGTCGTTTACGGGCAGTGGCAATGGCAGTGGCAGTGGAGACGACGACGGGACTTTCTCCCCGCCACCAGAAAACGCCGCCGAGCCGGTCGCAGGTCTCGTTCCGGCGCGCGTTATCCGACCAACACTATTCCGTCTTCCGCTACCGAGCCGACCGGTGTGTTGTACTGTTGTTCTGTTTTGTCCGCGCGCGATGTTCTACGAAATGCACGACAAGCGATACGATTCCGGGTCCTCGTGCCTGGGCCGGTGCTGGATGCTGGTGGCCATGTGCGGGCTACTCATCACCGTATCGTTCATCGGCATGACCCTGTGGCTGGGCATGAACAGCCGACCGGACGTGCCGATCGCTCCGGCGTACCAGCCGCCCGCGCACGTGGCACCGAACGTGCACCGGCAGCACCACTACGAGATGACCACGGCCAAGGCCACGTTCCCGACGGCCGACTACGACGCGATGCCCACCACGAGCATAAAGAACAAAAAGGGCCGTATCGAGATAGTCGAACACGAGAAAATGGCGAAAATCGAACCGACTACGCCGATGACGAGGGCCCTGGTGCCGAACAAGCAACTCGGCGACGGGGTGAGCCCGATGGAGGAAGAGACGGTCGTTGAACCGTCAAGAACGAACGGGGTGACGAGGAAGAAGAGCGAAGTGGTCTACCCGAACTGGTCATCGGACCTGGAGGCTAAGACCGATGATCAGGACGAGGTGGCCGAGCCGCCGCAAGAGTTTCAACCGTACTACGTTAGCGAGCAGCCGGACACGCAAAAGTTCAACCCCATACCCGCGTTTTCGTACCTCAAAGAGCACCCTGTCCGGCTGTCCGAGAAGGACATCCGACCCCCGGGTACGGGTGAAAGCGAGGAGTATCCTTATTTCTATCCTCAGTTCGAGGACGTCACTCCGGACGAGAAAACCGTCAACAATCCCTTGTTCACGTTCTTACGCAAAAGGTTGCACGACGTGCGCGATTGGTTGGCCCAGTCGGGCGTCCGAAAGAACCAGAGTCAATGGATTCAGATAGTGGACGCGGTCAATCAGTCATTGTTCACGAAGAACTCCACTATTGTGCTGTCAAAGCTTCGGGAAATGTACGCCAACACCAGTGATGTGGTAGCCGCCGATACGCCCGTGGCCAGTCTCATTTATCCAACTGCTGCCAACGACTCGGCCGCCAGCCTCGTGTCGTTCGGGCTCTTGGCTATCGATCTATTTTTGTTGCATAACGTGCAGCAGATCGCCCTGAACGAAGACGCCGAGGCGGGTCAGCAAATGCTCAACGACCCGGATGTGTTGGCTTTGAACGCGCTGTTCTTGCCCCCGGATCGCGTCAAGCAAATGCGGTCGGCCAATTCACGAGTGTTGTCCGACGACCGTCGCGATAGGAGCCCGAAAGGGTTTATTACCGAATTGATGGAGTTCGTCAACGGCGGATTGAGAGCCATACTCAATCTGAGCCGGGCGTACAGGAGTAGCTCTCGGGCGGCTAAGGCCGAAGGTAAAAGCGTCGGTGATAACCCCACTACTACGAGCGGATCGTCTTTGGACTGTATTTGGACGTTGTACTGTCGTAATTTAGACAAAACTGCTAAACTGAACGGCCCTTATGGATTTCTGGCAAAAATGAACAGGTAAATTTCAAAAATAATACATTAGTGTAAGTGAATATTGTGTACGTACATTATAGGTAAACAAAATATTATCTTTGTATGTATGTTATACATTTAATTAATTTGTCTTCAGCATCATAATGTGATTATATGATAAATTGATTTTGTTACTATACTGTGAAGTATAAACTTATAAATAATAATTGGATTTTGATTTGACATCGAGAACAAATAATTTTGCTATTTAGAATCATAAAAAAATTAAAAACTTATTTATTTTTGTAGTTTTACAATATAAAACAATATCCTGCATTAGGCAAAAATAAATAGTTAATAAAACGCTCGGTATATTATTTAAAGCATAATTCGTAAATTAATCATTCTTTTTAAAAAATATGTGTAGTTACACTACCTAGTGTAGTCTATAAAAGTATATTTTTATTTAATTAAATAATAATTTGGATTTTTCCGTTAATTCAATACCACTCGATAAATTTTCTATTGCTCTAAAAACTGTATCTTACCTTATATAATCTAAATAAAATTAAACTCATAGTCTAATGGTTAATGAATATTAACCTGAAACAGAAGTTATCTGGTTTTGATCTTTTATCGTAACGAAAATTGTTTGCAACCACTCATCAACTTGAGTGCCACTGCGTGGCACTTTTCGGGGGAATGAGGCTTCGCCCCAAGGGAAATTATAGTCTAAGCCTAATCATACATAACTTTAGAGCTCAAATATTAGGGGTGCTGAAATTGCTGAAAATAAAATAAAATGGTATTTAACTGTAATTACTATAGATTATATATATCTGAAAAAAACAAAAGTGCTAAACTCAGGGGTGTTAAAACTACTATTACGCCCTCTTAGTTTTTATACAAATCTTGATACTGTTGCAAATGGGATTATGTTTTGTATATGAACCTAAAACCTCGCTGTGCGAGTAAATTACATATCTAGACCACAAATGCAAGTTATTGTACTATAACTAATCGATAATTCACTAAGTTATCATTTTGTATCACGTAATAATGTAGATACTGTTTGAAAAATAATAACAAAAAAATAAATAATGGTAGTGAATTAACGGAAAAGGTCCAATAATTCTTATAAAATATTATATACTTCATTATTTAAGATTATCAATAGTACAAATGAGTTATATTTATATATTAAACATTCAAATTTACTTTTTAAATTTAAGTACATTTTATTTCTTGTACACATCGAATTTATAAAACATTATTAATTGATCGATCTAAAAAAATTTCATTTAATTTTGAAATTATTAAAAGCTGTTGTTTATACGATAATATATTATAACATTATAATATTACATGCAGTGGCGCACAGTAGATTTTTGACAAGGGTGTCGAAAATATATATTTCGAGGTACCCCCACCAGTAAAATCTGAGTTTAGACATAGTATAACTCTTAATTTTAGGTGTTTTTGGTTTTTTCTTTCAAACAAAGATACATAAAAGATAAATAAATTTTTTTTAAATAAATGTAATATTAATTATTTTTTAATTTTCTGGGTATTAATTTATTAGTTTGTATAGCATAATTTTTGGGAATTGAGCCCTACTATTTATTCTCATGTGACGCTTTAGTTCTAATTAATTAGTATTTTGATTTGGATAGCTGAAAAATTGGTTAGTATTAAATTAAACAAATATTCATATAAGTTCACACAGAACTAGTCTACCAATTCTCTGAGGGGTGTCAGTCGATACCCCTGATCCCCCTGTGTGCACCACTGATTACATGACTAACAATTTTACATTAGATTAGGTTAAAATTAAAACATTTGATTGTAAAAAAATACAACCAGTTTAAATTATTGTAATCTCATATTATATTATACCGTATGATATTTTTAACAAAAAATAGTAATTTACTTAATACATAGTAATATTCAAACTACTATGAATAAATGAATATTAGACATAATGAAAGTACATATGAAATAAAGAATTGATAAACACTTTTAAGAAAGTACCCATTCAATTCATTTAATGATTTCATGTGGTTCGTTTTATTTCATTGAATGTTTACCTAGTTCCGTTACTTTACAGGTCATTAGTTTTACTAATGATTTGAATAATAATAACATATTTTCTGTTACGTTTTAAGTATTTTATTTCAAATGATATTTGAGTATAGTCATCTTAACCCAGTCACACAATTAATGCATTTTCTTACAAAACTAGCAATTATTCTAATTAGAATAAGTTTACTATTTCGTTGTAATTTAACTATAATTTGTTGCATAAACATATTTATCGGTTTAAAATTTATTTTAGACCTTTTAAATGCCTAAATATGAAAGGTAAAAATATCTAAATTCTGGTGTTTTTTAATAATATTACTATTTAATGACTCGTGACAATCAAAACGATCATAATTTAAAAAAAAATTATATATAACGAGTATTTATTTATTTAGAATAGTTATAGGTGTATAACAATATATGTTGAATTTAATATTATTTATAAAAAATTTGTTAAATATGTTTATATTACAATTAAGACCGATCATATGCATTGATCTGTTGTTGCTGATATTATCTTAAGACTTTGATAATTATCTGTTGAAAAAATACTCGACTGTATAAAATAGTGCACATACATTTGATTTTTAATTATTTCGTTGTATTTAATGATAATTTATAACGATATTACGAATCAATGGACTATCTTAAGTCATTAAGGAAGTTAAGTTCAGTTTTATCTTTAAATATAATCTCCAAAACCTCATGAATATTTAACTTTACGTTGTCTCCGGACAATGAAACTTTCACAGAGCTCTGTAATATTTTCATAAGTGCCGGACGTCATAAACATAAATATCCGGGTTGATCTGCCCACAGCGTAAATACATACACAATGAAATAAAAAATGCACTCGAATATACATTGAGGCTAATTTAGTGTTTGAACTATTTTTCGTCGTTATGTCCCTAGAGTAAAATTTTTCAAATGTTTTCTACCATTATGCAAAAATTCAGGCACGTGTAAACCATGTAAAATGCATTTTGTCGGGACAATGGCAAAACAGCATCATCGCTCTATGACGGTGTTTAACGGGGAATTATGCACGTTCATTAGCATTGTAAAGAAACTATAGTGGTCAATCAAGTGTGAAACTTAATGGCATTTCCAAACATATCTTATTGTTTACATTTATATGGCAATGTCGATATCTTAAGATCCGAGGAATAACAATGAGTGTAGCCGGTAGTAATTTTCATAGAATCCATTATTTCTTTTTTTGTTTTTGGTGATAAATATCAAAACAATTTAAATAATATTTATCTAATATGCGTATTATATCTATGCAGCGATCACTAAGTATAATATAATAATACATTTTACTTGGAGTAATTCTATGTCTGTATTAAATTTTTATATTTTATTTTTTGAGTGGAACAGGAAAATTCGTTGGATAAGGGATTGATGATTATTTTTATTAGAATAGCCTTTCAGAATAGTCGAAGTAAAAAGTACAAAAGCATTTAAAGTAGTTCTGAAAAAATTTAAATTTATCATATTTAACAATTAGGAATAAGTAATACACTGTATATTGTCAGTAATAATCAATCAAACCGAAACATAAGTATATTGATAAAATTAAAAAATATATACTCATATTAGGTTTCGTTCTATCAATACAATAGTAGATTAAAATTGTTAGTGACAAAGAGTCAAATTTCATTTTTACAGACACTTCAAGTTTGAAAATAAGTATTTTTAGAAACGAAGTTACTCTCATAATTAGGTTTTGTTGATCTTAGCCAAATTAATTTATTTAGTATATTTAACTCGTGCAAGAATAATCTATTGTGATTTTATTTTTATAGATTTCTTGAGAATATTATTTTTAATCATTGATCATTTAAGTTATTTGTTACATAATATATCACAGAAATAAGTTGAAAATTGATAACACAAATGCAAATTAAAAAAAAAAAAAAAAATTGATAACTATGATAATAGATTTAATGATTAGAGAATAATAAAATAATGAAAAAAATATGGATGCAACCATCTTTTGCATAGGTTTTTTCTTCAAATTATTTTCATATTATTCATTTTTTAAAATTCCTTTTTGACTAATTAAATATTTTTTTGGTAAGATGATAAAAAATTATATTCGATTGACAGGTTGTTATTAGTTCTTGGTAATATCATACTACTTTTAACTCACTTAAATGCGCTTAACCAGTAGTCATAGTACACGAATATATATGTAGGTATCCTTAAAACTACATTTTTATGTAAGACTGCTGCCGTACTCATGTTATTTTTATTTATTTTAAATATATTGAATAAATATTTTATAAAATGTTATTTCAAATTTTATATATTGATTGGTTATACGGTTTTATTTTTCTATATTCATATATTTGTGGATTGATTCTGATGAAATTAATTTGTAGCTTATTGCCAGTACATAAAAATATAAAACGTTTTTTTTTTTTTTTGGAAACATTAAAGTAAAGGGTGATTTTTCCAATAAAAAAACATATAAACGATTTGGAATCACTAGATTGTTTCCTAGGATATATATATGTCTCGACAGAAAGTACAGAAATGGGTGCATTGTTTGTGAATGATTACGGTCGTTCTATAAAATTGGATTTTGACCATACTCGAGTCGTTAAGTATTTTTCTTGGATTGCGTTAAAATGGTTTATTGTCTTTCGAATGTGGTGAATTGAATTAAGTATCCTGAAGTCCGATTTCCCTTTTTTGTTTAACACTTTTATTTTATCAGTTGCTTTTAAAATAATTTTACCATAGTTGGAAGTTTGGTAACAAAAAATAACACCAGAAGTCAATTGTATTTTATAATTATTTGAATTTTAGTTAATTCAAATACATGTAATTTAGTTTTGATTGAAAATAATCAGTATAGTGATTGATAAATTAGATTTTAAATTATTTTTTTTCACAACCTACTTATTATAATTTATATTAGATTCATATTGTATAAATCTAAATATTGAATAATA